GAGATTACGTCTCACAAATTCAAACACAGGTAAGAAAGTATAACCAGAACCATTCAGGATCTCGGATCATAGCTTTTTACAATCCGTATTAGAAACACAAGTTCAATCAACATCCAGAAACCACGTATATAAATGTATTCAATAAAGTAAATAGTACCATAAAGAAGAAACGTTGATGAAAACTATGTGTTGCTTGAAAACGATTAACTCTTAAGCAGTTCAAAAACAACTGATTTTCATCTGTGTTGTTTAACTCGTGGCTAATAAAATTAATGAATTTATGACTCGTGTGGCCCAAATCGCTCCTCAACACTTTTTCTTTTTTTTTTGTCTTACAAATACGCTAAGCAAATATATTTTAAGAATGTCGAATAACTTACGCGTGAACAATATGTACCATACTTTGTATTTGATAAGAAAAAGAAAGAGCTTTTGAAAGGCTTAGAGTACCTTTCAAACATTTAAAAGTTCAATAAGAAATGTGCGGTAAAGCTGTTTTCGCAGAGCCAGCGATAAATTGTTGAATAAGCAACATGTGATACGTGATTAGTTCCCTCCCTGGTTTTTCTGTAACGGTCTTCTTGTGTGTATGTGACTCCCCCAGCTCTGCCGTATGTCAAAAAAAAATTGAACACCAGATGTCGGTATGTTCGTTGCGTGACCTGTTTCAACGGATTGGCAAAAGTCCATCGAACAAGTAACGTTCCACATACACATTATGTCGGTTTATGTAAACGATAACATGGTGACTGTCAGTATCTAAGTAGACGTTAGAACCAATATATATAACAGTATATATATATGTTAATACACATTATATTACACAGTTCGGTAAAATATATACTTATCGCTAATGAAGTCCAACGTAATTTCCAAAATGATGGACTAGGACTTTCTTCCTAAGATTGTGGAAGTAAGCAACCAATAAAATTCAACCACTAAAGAAATGTAACAATTATGTTAATAAACCAAGATCAATTGTTTGATTATCACAGTGCTGAAAAAAATCAATAACTTTCCCCATATCCTAATGTTCTCAGATACTTCATTTTTATTACTTTCAAGATAAAAACGTCCTTATTCCTATTCTTTCTAGCTTTTGGAAGTTCTGTTTTTAATATGTAGGTGGAACTTTTCCATTATTTATAGCAAACGAAGTAATAGGCTTAAAAGGTCAGCTACAGAGACCCGTTTCCGCCGCCTTCATGTAAAATTCTTTCACCAAGATTTCTTGTACAAGTTCCTGCCTTCAAAGAATGGGGGGGGGGGGGTGAGCATACAACTGATTAGATCATATAAACGTGTAAAGAAATATTTTACGTATATATGCTCACGACGATTTTACGGTTTCACGAAGAGTTGTTTGACTGCACCCGATCAAACTTTTTGACTAATTCAACTCTGTATCTATTTAAATATACAATCTTAAAATAATAACAAGAGCTACAGGAGTCCTAACTACAGATTAACAAGTTACCACGTGATCAATACATGAGGCAGACAATAATTATACAGTGACACCTACAACTCAACCTCTCGGGCATTTCTAACAATTTTGAAATACATTATTCCTGGCAGCACCTTCACGTGCCACGAGGCCAGCTTGCATGCAGACAGCACTTCACGTGCACCCTCCAAGTCACGCATTGATCACACCATGTACGAGAGCAAAGTCTAAGGCAAAGTTTCTCTCGCAATGTTGTAAACGCGATTTATTCTTAACTTCTTTTTATATCAAGGTAGATACGATATTCCTCTCTAAATATTGTCAAACTAACACTAAATATTTGATTTCTAGACGCTATTGAGTTTTTTTTTGTTTTTTTAAATGACATTTCAAACTCTACTTACATAATTGTCTATGATTCTCATCTTCATTATACTCAGTCCGTATAATTATGCATTAGAGTGATACCTAGTTCTGCTTGATCACTCAACTTTAACATTCTATTATCACGTATGTTAAGAATTGCGAGAAAAAAGTTAGTTGAAGCTGGATAGAAAATATTATCACAGAAAGTTTCATATTCCTTTTACTTGCAGCACACACACACAAAAAAAAATGGTTTCTTTTACGAGAAGACGTTACCGTTAAAATAAGTTGTTCTTTTAACTCACTAATTGTTAAATAAAACAATGGTTAAAAATCATAGTTTAAAAAGTCGAATATCCAAAATAATTTTTATGAGAACCGAATTTTTTGTGTGTTTAGTTTATAATCTTTCAGTTTCGTTTCCACGAAACTTCTAGAATGACTTTTAGCGCATGCGCAGACAGATTTTTGTTTGAAAAGAAACTATCAAAAAGACTGATTTACATACGTAGATTAGCGCAAATGTTCAGATCGATAACTAAAGAAATAAAAGTATTCGAAATAGCAATAAAAACTATAGATCTCAGGAATAATTTATTAATCAATAACTAGTTGACGAACCATTCAAAGAAAAGACGTAGGGCCCCCTGGGGAGCGGCCTATGTGGTAAAGTTCGAAAGCAGACCACCTTCCTCACTCCCTGTAGTGAACTAAGGTTGTCTGTTAAATTTAGTTCGGGTCTGCCAAAAAAATTAAGAAATAAAAGGCGGATACATAGACAGATAGGGGACCTTGAGGGAGTGACATGGAGATCAGATCTGAACCCACCACCTTATGTCACTTCCCGAGATGCCCTAAGGATGTTTTCAAAGTTTAGTAAAGATCAATACAGTAGTACGGGGAACACATGGCCCCCGAAGGTGAGATGGGAGGGTTAATATTCGAATCTGAACTACCTTATGTCACTCCCCTAAGAGCAATAAGGATGCTTGCAAAATCTGAATGGCATCGACCAAGAATTGAAGGTTTGACAGATGGCTACAAACACAGAAACCCCGGGAAGTAACATAGGTGAGGAGATACAAAAGTTAAACCCCTATGTTACTCCCTGTGTGCCCTCTAAGTTTGGTGGAGGTTAATAAAAGAGCACAGGGAATAAATGGGGTCCCCGGGAGTGACATAGGGGGAGTCAGATCCGGACTCCTTCTCGTCTATGGTTGAGATCGGTCAAAAATTATAGGTATGAAATGTAAACACGAAGATTAGAATGGCTCTCCGGGAGTATCATGGGGGAGGGGAGGCATATACGAATGGCCTTTAAGACACTAAGAGTGCATGACAAGTTTAGTTGAGATCCGTCAAAACGTGCGGACATGAAAATTGGACATATAGATAACACTTCTGTTTGAAAAATATAGAGCATCATTTTGCAAACATGTTTTGTAAACCAAACATATGATGAAAAAAAACAACACAGAACAACTATTCTGTTTTGCTTCATTTTTTTTACCACAACCTTCGAAAAATAAATATTTATAGAGTAGATCTAATGGGATTCAACGAGGAAAATACGAGATAAATTGTAATTACAGACCACCTGTACGTTCTGTTTGATGATTTGATACTTATGAATTCAAAAATACCTTACGGCTTTCCAGAGCACTATTGAACATTTGTTTAAAGAACAAATGTATTAAAATTTTTAATTATTTAACGGAATAAAATAATGAACCCAAAAATGACAACATAGTGTATAAAAGAATATTCGTTATATAGAGCATTATGTCAGACTAAGTTTCTAACGCCGTATTTTGTAACTAAAGACACCAGGATGAGGTATTTAAAGCTTTAGTCTGTGTTTCGTAGACGTATTGTGTGATGCTTGTCAAAATATGATTAATCTTCTTATAATTAGTTATTGCTAGATTAATTTATTCTAGATACTGATTGAAAAATGAGTAGTAAATAGATCGGTTTATATCAAATCACTAAATATAACTTGTTTATCCCTGTATAGATTTAATTCATCATTTAATTTGAAGGTAAAACCGTGGTCATAATGGCCCAAATTATAACACTTAGTTGTAAATGTAATAATCTATTTCCTTAAACCTAATAATATCTAATACGATGTTTCCCTCAATATTGATAAATTTCATTTAAGGAAAACTTACTACTTTAGTATTAATTATGTAAATGGTAGAAATATTGTCTGTATTGATTACTTTCATTCATTGAGCTTAAGTTTAATGTCACTCACTGCGAAAATAGTACATTTCTTTGTGCAATGTATAATGAAATTATCAGAAAAATATGTTTTAAGAGATTTGAATAATTCTATGTTATCTCGCCTTTCACTGAACACTGTAATTAAGATTATTTAAACCTCAACCCCTGTGTGTCGTGTTTCACTCCTAAACACATCATTGTTGCAAAATAACTAGTATTTCAGGGGAAAATATGATTTACGACACAAGTTGTACGTAAGATTGCACTTATTTGTACAGTTTCTACAAATCTGAAATATTATGTGAAATAATTCAATTCACATCCTAGAATTATGCAGTTATCTGTTACTTTTGATTGATCTAATTCAAAAATATAGATTACAGTTATAAATGTAATTTTACAACAACAACTGTTATTTTGTCTCTCTTTCTATCTGTAATTATATGTATATATATATATATATATATATATACTATTGTAGTTATATATATATAATATATATATATACTATCTATATATATATATAGATGTATATATATACTATCTATGTATATATATATATATATATATATAGCTTTACCATCTTTGTTTAAATTTCTTATCACTGTCTGTTTATATGTCTACTTAGATGTATCTACCTATTTTTACTTCATCGTATTAAACATAAGTATAAACAATTAATATGTTCCATCAAGTTTTGGTTAAATACTGTTTAACTGCTAATCTAAAACATAGTAGGTACTCAGATTATTATTTTAAAGTGTTTTTGCTTTATGTTAATATTTTGGAAGTTTTGTTTTTGTTGGGATTTTTTTAACGCATTTAGATTCGTAGATTAAACTTGCAATATCCATTTAAGCTAAATAAGAAATTATAATCAATTTCAGTTATAAAAACTTCCTACAAAAGAAAAAAAACTCAGATGGTACTCTGTCCATAAAAGACCACTTCAATTTACCTGATAATTTGTATTTTTGTTGAGCAGTACAATATCTTGTATATACATGACGTCAAGTCACGCGCTATCTGCATCATGACAGCCAGAAAATTTAGCTCTAGAGTCAAGTTAGCTGACAAAACCACATGCTAGCCGGAAGGTCAGCATAAATAAATATTTTCCTTTTGCACTCGTCTTCTGCGAAAATACCCCGTTTTTCTGTATTTGTGATTTTACGTTAAAGATACATCGCCCTTACAACCTAGAATTCGTAGCGAAATCGACTCATTCCTTATTTTTATATCCGAAAAAACATTTTTAGGTTAAATATCACATTTTCCTATTAATCAGAACTCATGTACAGATTTACTGTCAACAATTTAACAGAGAAAACTATGCTCGCTCTGTATTGTATACATGCATTGGAGAGTGAGGCCTGTGATGTTCATAGGAAGCCATGCATGGCCTGCTATTTTTAGTAACCTGACGTAAAACACGCGACTGCATGACGCACATGGAAAGGATCAGAGGATTGGTGTGCTGATAGTGCTAGTGTAATAACAGCAAGTTCATTCTCTCAAGGATTTCTTTTTTTCCTCTTTTTCCGCTCTAACTCAACCATACTGAGTAAGAAAATTTGTTAGCAAGGAAATTGAGAAACAAATTCTAACTCAAAATTTATTTATTTTTTTCTCGTTTACTGTAATGTTTAATTTTTTATATTTGAAGAGGATAATTGTTATAATTCCATCAATAATTCCATCAGACCTTGGTTATTATAATTCCATCAGACTTTGGTTAAAGAACGGGTGATAATTATTATAATTCCATCAGACTTTGGTTAAAGAACGGGTGATAATTATTATAATTCCTCAGACTTGGTTAAAGGGAATAATTATTATAATTCCATTAAACCTGGGTTAAAATATGAGAATTATTATTATTCCATTACACCTTGGTTAAAGTATAAGAATTATTATAATTCCATTACACCTTGGTTAAAATATGAGAATTATTATTATTCCATTACACCTTGGTTAAAGGATAAGAATTATTATAATTCCACTACACCTTGGTTAAAGTATAAGAATTATTATGATTCCATCAGACTTTGGTTGAAGGAGAGAATTATTATAATTCCATCAGACCTTGATTGAAGGGGATAATTATTATAATTCCATCAGACTTTGGTTAAAGAACGGGTGATAATTATTATAATTCCTCAGACTTGGTTAAAGGGAATAATTATTATAATTCCATTAAACCTGGGTTAAAATATGAGAATAATTATTATTCCATTAGACCTTGGTTAAAGTATGAGAATTATTATAATTCCATCAGACCTTGGTTGAAGAGGATAATTATTATAATTCCATCAGACCTTGATTGAAGGGGATAATTATTATAATTCCATCAGACTTGGTTAAAGGGGATAATTATTATAATTCCATCAGACCTTGGTTGAAGAGGATAATTATTATAATTCCATCAGACCTTGGTTAAAGAAAGAGGATAATTATTAAATTATCCCCTTCAATTAAGGTCTGATGGAATTATAATAATTCTCTCCTTCAACCAAGGTCTGATGGAATCATAATAATTCTTATACTTTAACCAAGCCTGAGGAATTATAATAATAATTATCCTCTTCAACCAAGGTCTGATGGAATTAAAATAATTCTCCCCTTGAGTAAGCAATCACGGCTTAAATCACGAAAGGGGCTGCAGTTAAGTGCTCTTCACGCAAGGGTTTTAAGATAAATATATTAATGATGTTTATTGTATGATACTTGAAGCGAAAGTATGTAAATATTTGCTGTGTGAACAGATTTTGTTTGTCCAGCATTAATGCTGCAAAAAAGTCACATTTATAATATATTCATAATTGGAAAACAAAACAATAATTTACTGTACAAAAACAGAAACTGAAATAATGTGGGATATTAGATGTGAATGGCCAGAAATGTT